TCAGCTTAATGTAGCTCCACTCATTTTATTGCTAATGTAGATTTTTCACCTGTTTTTAAGACTGTAAAATAAAATAATAGCAGCAGAACACTATGAAGATCAAGTGATAAGAGTAAAATATGTTAATATCCCCATAATGTTTGAAGTTTGAAGGTTTTAAAATAAAGTCTCATCTCATTGGTGGATGTAAACGGGGATTAGAAAATAACAGCTGCATTATCTCTATTTGCAAGGTTATACGATCAGGAGAACTTTTTCTTTCTATAATGTGAAGCAATAACAAGTTTAAATGTAAAAATAAAGAAACAAGATGGAACTAGTGGTGACTCAAAGTGTTCTACATGTGAAGAAATTATGTGAATAATGTCCAGCAGTTAAAATGTTGGATTATTAATAATAAAGATTTTTTTAAATTCTTGATGTTTCAAAAAAGACAGCGATGAAGATAAGGTTTTGAGATTTTATAAACTGTGTTTGTTAATTACACATTTCCTCATGCCACAAAGCCTCTGTCTGCTCGTCATAACAAACACTGTAGGGCTGTTCTGTGATTAGCTGTCTTGTCAGTCTTAATTAGTTTTCATTCAGTAAATGGCAGTTACAATAAAAACAGACCAAAGCTGCTTATTATTGGTAGAGATTAATTTGTGTGGTTTATGTGATGTTGAGCACTTTTGGTCACCATAGCAACATGGGTAAATGGTCTAAGGGAAGAAGAATAATCAAATAAACAATATCTTGAAATGATTGTCACAGTATAGTTCAAACATGAGTTAGATACCAAAGCTGCTGTCAAAAGTGATTCAACATTACAACGGAGAAGTGTGATTTCTCTACGTCGATGTACTGACGCCATCTGTGTTTAAAGAAAGAAAGACCTTTATTGTGCAAAAGATTTTTCTGGAACAGAACTGACAGGACAGTGTTTGAACAGAGCTTTATGGGCTCATTCAGTGAATCAGTCTTTTCAAATTAGCTTTTCTGTTTCAGTCGTGTTTTAATATGGAAACACCAGAAACAGCCTTCATAAACTAAAGACAGGTTCAGGCTGATGAGGAGGAATGTTACCTTCATAATTTCATCTTCATATCACTGAATACAAAACATAAAGTAGCAGGGGCGTTTGTTTCAAAACACGTGCTAGATATATTGTCCGTAGGATTTTAAAGTGCAGCGAATAAATGAATAAAATGAATCTCCTAATCTCAAGCATATAAAAAAGTGTTGTAATGAATTTACATTTTTGGCACAGGCTCTCCTCAGTTCTCCTCCTCCTCCATTTAATTCAATCTGGTGACCTATTCACTTTGAGACGTTGTTATTAGAAAACACTTTAGAGAGCTGTCTATAGATGGTCAGTAAGCCATGAATCAAAACATTTTTGTGTGTCCAGAGGAGAGCGTGAAAGCCCTTTTAAAAAAAAAAAAAAAACAGTCAGCAAAAACAGTCAACAAAGAGGCCCAGAGAAAGAAATGTCATGTCTTGATGAATGGTTGTCTTTTGAGTCGGGCTCCTCCTGCAAGTTTTCCTCATGATATAATAAATCATGCTAAATTGGATCTCTTTTAGTAGTATAGGCTAATTATTTCCTCATTTTATGTCCCCTCCCCTCATTTTGTGTCCTGAAGGTCCAGTGCTCTGAGTTGCTCCCATGTAGACCATTTCATATGTCACCTTCTGCCAGTCACTCGCCACTGGCCCAATTTGATCATACAGATTGGGAGGTTTTATGACGGAGTCTCGGTGTGACATCCAGCATTATGGAGACTGATTGGAATAATAGCGCTGCAAAGGTTTGGCTGCCCGCCTGCGACTCTGCTCCATGATACAGGCCTTGAAACATAAGCTAGAGCAGACATATCTCACCCTCAACACATGACTCAACAAAGTGAACCTGAAATAGTGCTATTCAGGAACAAGCTCATGTCAACAGTGGTAGTTGTCAGGTGAGGAGTCTGTGATGCTGACTGTGAAATAAGATGATCAACAATAAACAGATCAGACTAACAACATATACATTGATATATACAGATGGCGTCATGAAAACAGGATCCTATATAAATCATCTGGTATCACAGTTCATTGTGGTGTAAGTTCATAACTCTGAAGATCTGTTTTAGCGCTAAATGCTCCCCAGAAATCTTAGACCAACAAGATGAAGAGCTAACAACCATGCTAGCATCTCTTGAGGCCATAGACCAGGGACCAGTGCTAAGCCCTCTGTTTTTATATAATTAAGATGTGAAAAATGTTCTTATAATACAACAGATCGTTTTAAATTTGTTGAACAACTAAACCAAGTTACAATAAAAACACAGAGATTATCACCTTTTTTTGGCTTTAAACCTGATTATTTTTGCTGAACAAAGTGGGCATTTTAACATGCCTGCATTCTTTGTAACACCCAGCAGAGGGTGACACCGCTGGTTGAAAAAGATTGTATGCAAACAGATGAGAAAATCAGCCTACTTATTATGAGTTAAGTTACTAAGTAAAGCTTCTCTCAATGAGTTAATGGTTCCAAGTGCTGATTTTAAGTTTTCTTCAATTAGGCGTGATTAATATTTTGTGAATTGTGGTTTTATTAATAACACACAGGGGAAATTCTAGAGTATGTTTGTGCCGTAGGCAAAAACATTTATAAGAGCCCCTCCAACCATTCATTATTTTTTCACTCCCATACAGATAATGCATCTTAATTTTCCTTTTGTAACTTTCATTGACAAACTTTGGTTTTCTCAGCAATAAAACATGGGACAAGTAACAGGGAATAGAGAGTAAGTGCTATCAGATGGGGCCCCCTTAGGGAGGTTTTCTACTGTCCATGCAAAATTTGCACACTTTGAGGCAAAACTGTGATTTATGGCCTTGGGGTTCCACTACTGGTGCCCCCAGCAGTTGCCGGCCTTGCATATTAAGAAAGCAGCGCCTCTGATAACACAATTGATGATAAAGCAGGATTTGCGTTTATGCACTGCCTGTGATTGACGTGTGGCGCTGTGCTGTTTGACAGGTTACTCCTGTCAAATGAAAAACAAAAACAAGATGAGTGACGACCATGAAAAGAACTGAAGTTGTTTATGCAGGTTTAGTTAAAAGCCAGAGTCTTGAACTGTGAGAAAATGCAGTATTGTTTTAGGGCTGATGCCATTTTAATGCATTGCTAAGAAAGTTCTGTCTCTGTCACACAAATGTCTCATGTTGAATTTAAAGTGATGCACTGAGAGGAGCACAATCCTCTCAAACCTCATAGTCACACAGATTAGTGGTTCATCGTTTGGTTTGGTTGTGACATTAATGGTATGGCACATATTCAGAAGAAGTGATATTTCGATTTCAAATCTGTTAGAGTGCGTGCTCATTAAAGATACCCAAACAAATGCTTGTTTTGTTCTGAAAAGCCACCGAGGGTTACATTTTACAGACTGGCAGCTAAATGAACTGTCATGTAACATCGCCTCACTTCTGTCTCCTAAATATTTTTCTCCAGTCTGGAAAAGTGAGATTTCACAGCGACAATGTGGGACACAGTGACTGCTGGCCCTGGTTAGTGTGTACCTGTAAGTGTGTGTTTGTGTGCTTGTGTTGTACACGCCTTGTTTTTGTGAAAGTTTCTGTTTTCACTATGTTATTAACCTCAGAGCAAACAGTCACTGCTTGTTCTTCCCCTTTTTATTCTGTCCTCGCTCTATCTGACCCTCCTTCCTCGTGCTGTTAGAAAATATTGACATTTCTGTGTATTTCTTCTGTTGTGTGAGGGAATGATTGTTTGATTTTTCCAAAAACCTATGCGATCCGACAGTCATTTCACAAATACTCACAAACAAAAAGTCCAGAGGAAAAGCCTTCAGTACACAATGAAGTGAAGAATAACAGCATTTTTAGACAGTTTCAAGACAGTTTCAGGCCAATTATCTGCTTTGTTCTGTTTCTGAGTAAACATAGGCACAGTGCAAGATAAAAAAATATTTTCCTTTCCTTCTAAAGCCATTAAAGTCCGGCACATGTGACAGATCAGCCTTAACAAAGAAGAAGCCGTTGTCTTCAAAGCATCCTTTATATTTGAAGGCATGTTTCTCTGTCTGAAAATGTACCTTAGTTTACTACATGGGTATAGACGAGCAGGTAATTGCAGTCTTTCTTAAAATGGACTTCAAATCGTGACATAACAGCTACATTTCAAACCAGCTGGCTTTGAAGATGTAAATGTTGAGTTGTATTGCACCATGGCCATTTTTCCTGAGTGCATTGTCAGATATGTCTCGTCTGAATGAAAAGAAAAAGTCACTGAGAGCTTCAAAGGGAGGTATCGCTGATCTTCCTGCTATCACATGCTGCTTCTATAGCTGCTCAGACACCTGCGCCAAAGCACAAACAAACGTCATTCCAGTGTCCACACAGCAGAGACATGCTGCCATATTGCTGGCAAAGCTGTGTAAAAGGCAGACAGAGTAGCAGGTCAACATTAAAAAAGAAATCACCCCAAGGAGAAGGCTTATCATGGCACATTGTTCCTTTGTGTCACCATATCACACTGTCATGCTGAGAGCTGCCAAACACTGTAGCTCTTTTGAGTCATAGAACAAGACAGCATGTATAGTTGTTGTTGTTGTTGTTGTTGTTGTTGTTGTTGTTGTTGTTGTTTTGCATTAGGACTGAGTTAAAGTCTGAGTTAGTTTCAATGCACTCAGTTTATTGGATGAAGGAAAACACAGCCATGGTTCCTCTCATGAACCATGAACTACATTACACCTTTTTTACATTTTTAAATTCTATTTATATATTGTAATAGCTTCTTATACTGTATTATTTAAGTTGTTGTTAGTTCTGCTTTATTTCCTTGTTAACTGTTTAGCACCAATACACCAAGTCAAATTCCTTGTATGTTTAAATGTACTTGGTAATAAACCCTGATTCTGATTCTGATTCTGATGATTTATTAAAAATATATATGTTATGGGCATGCCTGACAGATGCATTTCTCTTTCTCTCTCTTTCAGATTTAAATGGAGAAGCAGCGGTGTCACCAAGATAAATTGGACCTCCCTATGATTTTGAAGTGCTTTGCATTGAAACGCAAACAGCACCACTTCTCACTAAAGTAATCCATATCTGACAATTTAATGTCAAAGTGCCCGCTGGAGCAGCTTCATGCTGCGTCGCTGGGTGGAGCATGGCTGACAGAGAGAAAGCCTTATAAGATCCTGCTCATCACACGACACCTACATGCAGCATAATGCCTTCAAAAGTCTCATGTTTGTACTTGTTGACAGTGGTGTGCTGGGCGAGTGCTCTGTGGTACTTGAGCATATCGCGCCCAAACCCCACCCACATCTCAATGCCCGTGCGTAAGACTGTGAAGCCCCCGAAAAACCTCACCTTCACCAACATCCGCACTCGCTCCCTCAACCCGCACGCCTTCGAGTTCGTCATCAGCGAGCCGAGGAAGTGCGAGAGCGTCACGCCCTTCCTCGTCATCCTCATCAGCACCACGCACAAGGAGTTCGACGCGCGGCAGGCCATCAGGGAGACGTGGGGGGACGAGAGCACCTTCGCCGACATCCGCATCCTCACCGTCTTCCTGCTGGGCAAGAACACCGACCCCATCCTCAACCAGATGGTGGAGCAGGAGAGCCAGATCTTTCACGACATTGTGGTGGAGAACTTCATCGACTCTTACCACAACCTCACCTTGAAGACCATGATGGGGATGCGCTGGATCGCCACTTTCTGCCCCAAGGCGCAGTACGTCATGAAAACAGACAGCGACATCTTCGTCAACATGGACAACCTCATCTTCAAGCTCCTGAAGCCGACCACCAAGCCCAAAAGGAGATATTTCACTGGCTATGTTATAAACGGGGGCCCCATCAGGGACATGCGCAGTAAATGGTACATGTCCAGGGACTTGTATCCTGACAGCAGGTACCCGCCTTTCTGCTCGGGCACCGGCTACGTCTTCTCAGCAGATGTGGCTGAGCTCATCTATAAGACTTCTTTACACACGAGACTGTTGCACCTGGAGGACGTGTACGTGGGGCTCTGTTTACGAAAGCTGGGTATACACCCGTATCAGAACAGCGGGTTCAATCACTGGAAGATGGCGTACAGTCTGTGCAGGTACAGGCGAGTCATCACTGTGCACCAGATCTCCCCGGAGGAGATGCACCGCATTTGGAACGACATGTCAAGTAAGAAGCACCTGAGATGTTAAGAGGACACGAGGACCTCTGAACAAAAAAAACTTTTAAACTCTTTTATTTTTGCCTTTTCTCTACTTTCACATGTGACCACACTTAGTAATGTAAAACATTGAGGGCTGCTGCAAGTCTCTATTTCACATTGTCTGTATAAACAGATGGACTACATGTTTCAAACTCCTCTCATTGTACAAAATGAAGCCAAAATTCAGTGCCATATTGTGCTGATGATGTTTTTTTTGGAGTTTGAGTCCGTGCAGTAAAGGTCGCTGCAGATTTCACGACCCCCCCACTACCCAAAACATGTTAAATGTTACTTAGTGATAGAGATCATTTAGGTCTTGATAGTCTAGGGTGAATCATGACCCTACATCCACTTTTTATAGCATCATACAACAAATTAAAACTAAAACTCAGAAAAATTACACTTGTACATCAATGACAGAAAACATGTTTGAGAAACTCTAATTAGACGTGCATTTTGTTTTGATAGTTTGGCTCATGACCCGTCTGTTAACATTGAGGAGGCGGGACTTATGACCTTTACTGCTGCCAGTCACCAGGGTGTGAGGTGTTTTTGGCTTCACTTTGAAGGAGCTGTCATGCCGTCTATCTTTTTATACAGACTCTGCTATCTCATGACAGCTTTTTTCATTGACTTCCATGTATGCCTATCTCTGCTGATTTACACCTCACGATTGTTAAAGCCTGCATGAGGCTTGTAAAGAGTTTATTCTCGTGCATAATTCCCAATGTGGTGTTGTTACTGAAAGTCACTTTTCTTCACGTACTCAAATTCAAACTGAACATTCTTTAAAAAGCATCAAGTCCATCAGTGTGAAACGTTATGATGTGTTGCCTAACATGGATTGACTGACCTTGGTTCAAGCCTGTACCCTGGAAACCTTCTGTCCTGTTAAAGTGTCCTTGAGGACTGCTGACTCAGCACCCTGATCTTTCTGCAGGAGTGCAAGCCTAAAGGGAATTTCTGCTGGACTCGATAAGGTATTAAATCACTGTAATACCTTTAAATGGGTTTACATTTAAAACGTGTAAAAACAAATCCAAGAAGTGTTAGAACAAAGATAACATACAACAACAACAACAGACTTTGTGTGTAAAGATAAAATTCAATCTATGCTAAAGCTGCTATTCCCTTATTATATTCATAACAAACAGCCAGATGTAAAGCTGGAGATGAGCTGCACGTCTCTAGAATTATAATAATAATAATCTTTATTTAAAGAGCACTTCTCAAAAACAAGTTACAAAGTGCTTTACAAGGACAGCAAATATAAAAACAGGCAGGTCATAGAATAATAAACAAGGTTAAGATTAAGGAATAAAAATCACTTTAAAAAAAAAAAAATCCCTTTTAAAAGAACTGTAAAATACATACAATTATTTTAAAGGAATTCTAAAAAAGTGAAAATAGTAACCATTTAAAATCAACAAAAATCAGGAAAGGCTCGCCGGAAAAAGTGTGTCTTAAGAAGGGACTTAAAAGAGATGACTGATTCTGCCGACCTGATCTCCTCAGACAGGTCGTTCCATTGTCTTGGAGCTCTCACGGAAAATGCTCTATCCCTTTTGTTACTCATAATGAAGCCACATGGCTGACTTGAAGATCTCATGTCCTTTTCAATTTGCCTGATGTTTTTGTTTACATACATTTCACTGCCTCTGAATACATTTTTTTTTCTAACTGCATTTTGTTGATTTTTTTTCCACATTTTTTATACTTGAGGTAATTGTGTTTTCTCAGCTACCGGCTCCTCATTACTCCAGCTGCCGCTCTCTGTGATGTAGGCAGTAAGTCAGCATCTATTTCAGATCATCAACTCCTCCACAAAGCAAGAGAAACACGGCATCACATCCTGCAAGTTATGAGTTTACCTGTAGCTAAGACCATCGCAGACTGGTTGTATTATCACATAATAGCTTGCATATCAGTGTTTACTGCTGAAGAGCTGCTCCTGACTTCATGGGGAAGAAACATTGTGCGTCTCAGATGATGTGGCTCGCGTGGCCAAAATGTTGAAATTTTTTCAGAAGTTTTGTATTATAAGCTAACGTGACATTAACTGTGAAAGCATCTATCCCGCGAGGGGTTGTTGTTATATATTGTCTGTTTTTTATATTAAAGAACAAATACTTGAATTATTAAAGTTATATAACTGCTTTGACCTTTGTGCCTGATGTTTTGAGTTATTTTGTTAAAGGTTTGTAGAGGGGTTACTTTTGGTTTCTTGGTCATTTTGTTTTTGTGTTTTCATGTCGTGACTTTGGAATTAAAGATCGGGTTCTTTCACTGTGGTGGCATGATGATTGATTTGAAATGATCAAGCTTGAGGAAAGAGAGAAAACGTGTCAAACATCCTGATCACATTCAGCAACTTTTCTGAAATGGAGCTCAGCGTAAGTTCAGACAGGAAGACTGGTTATATTCTTTCACTCATTCATTCATCCTTTCACTTCAACCTAAACTACTTCCTCTGTCTCCCTGCTCTGGTGATCAGCTGATAATGGGCGTTTATTCTTTAAGTGATCAACCAACCAGATTTGTGCACAACCTCTCTCATCCAATCATCGTGCTGTGGCAAAATGCTAAATCAGTTCTCTCTCTCCCACAGTCATTCTGTCATTTCAGGGCAACCGCTGCAACCCACCACCGCCCCAGTCACCTCCATTCCAGCTCAGCAGAGTCCAGATTCAGGCTCATCATAGCCTACCTCTTCACCACCACCAGTGTCTAGACTCCATAGGGGGCGATATCCTATCCTGCTGTCTGCCTCATTACCCTTCTGAGTACATGAAGTGGTCACGATGGAGTCTAATCCCCCAAAGACTTTGCACATTCAAATCTAAATTGTTGCACATTTATTGTTAAATAAATAATTGTTCATTCTCTCCTGATTGAAATAACAGGATAAGAGTAAACCATGAAGTAAAACTTGATGCCCACATAGCACAAATACAGACAAGTGATCATGTCAACTTACTTTGTATAAACAGTAGCACAGTCATCCTGATCTAAAGCTTGCTAACATTAGCTGCCATAATCTAATACCAAGTAGAGCTGTACCTAAAACACCCCTATATATAATCTAATTATTTCTATCCATGACTTCCTTCAAGCAATCTCCAAGCCTTTTATGGAAGAAAAAACAAAATCCTAAAATTGTATTCACTCTGCAACCTAAAAGAAGCCGCCTGTTAGCTGCTCCCATAAAGCTCATTATATTTTTCCTTCAGAAAACATCTGTGTGTCTTTCCTGGAAGAGGGATCCTCCACATTGTTCATGATACATTCATTATTTTGGAAGTTTAAGAAAAATAAAAGTAGAATCGAATAATGTTGTATGCTGTACTGATTGTAAAGCCCCTTGAGACTAACTTGTGAATAAGGTCTATATAAAATATATAAGACTAGACTTACAAAGCATGCTGTAGACTTGACAAATACTGCCACAAGGACGAGTTACAACTGTTGTTTTTGAATCCAACACTTTCAAAATCTTGCAGTTAAAAAAAATCGACTTCCTCCAAATCATCAGGTATTTAAAGTTTAAATGTAGAATCATGTTTGAACTGCGTATGATGATGGCTAACAATCAAAAGCAAATAATCCACACTTTTTCTTTTTAAATAATAGCAATTCTTTATTGTTGCTCCTCATCAGAAATTTGACATCAGCTGATTACAGAGAGAACAGGGGATAATATGCTGAAATGGTTCACATACTGTACATAAAAAAACAACAATAAGTTACCTCATAATAAAGATTTTATTAGAAGTTAATATTTACCATCTTAATACTTGAAAATAATTAAGCACTACTGGACTTGTTTGGACAAACAGATGGCTCGTCACTCTTACAATAGTTGCCTTTTGGTTTCATCCTCAGATGCATTGTCATACAGTACATTTTAGAAACAACTCTATTTTTATTTTTTTGGGGAAAAAAAGGTTTTGTAGTGCAGCAGGACAGAGCGAGAAAATGAAACTCTTGTGGTTTGTGTTTATTAACCTGCTGTCTGAATACAACCAGAGCAGATTACAGGACTACAGGTTCTAGTTTGTTTGATTTGTCTCCGGGGGTTAAGCATCTGCTTGTACTGTGCACACACTCATCCCAAAAGTGCATTGTAGCTTGTCTCTTTAAGTTAATATACTTTAACTGTATCTTTGCTGCAGTAATAGGTTTGTGAAATGGTCATCAGCAGGTCTGCTCTTTGTGTCGTCTTGCTCATTCACTACTTTCTTAGGCACAGAGAAAAATTAACAAGGCACCTCTAACTTTTTGAAGCATTAGCATTGTCGAGAGCAGCAAATTATACACAGTAGCATTCAGGTCTCATTTTGTTTTTGTTTTTTGTTTTTCTGCACAATCAAGCTAATGGTCCCCTTCTGGTCAATGTAAAACACCACTCGACGCAGAAATATGATTCGTTTTAGACATTCATTACGTTGTTATGAAAAATGTGCTTTTTCCCCATAAATGAAGTGGATCTTACATTCTGACAGAGACCTCAGAGGGAAACATCCCAAATAGGTGGGTTGGTGAGATGCAAAAGAAAGAAACATTTGTTTTCACTGTGGCAACACCAAAGCATGAAAGAACAAAATGAAATACCTTCTCATTTCCTCAAAAACAAGAACTTAAAGGTAGAGTCAGTAGCTTTTTCCTAAAGAATGAAATATAGACTTATATAAAAGTAATGCTGCTCAGTCATCACTTATGGGTCTCCATACTTTATGTGGTGGTGACTGCGTCTGCAGGGACCCTGTCCTCTGACTGGTTTGTTTTGGTTGACTCGGGACGTTTCTGGGTGAGGGTGGATGTACTTCCCGCAGCGAATGGCAGCAAAAAGGTGAGTCAAGGAGTGGATACAATTCAGCGATCAGACGTCATTCAGACCGCTAAATGACACGGACGTGGACGTAGCAGCAATGAAAAGAAAATTTATTCATAGTGTGGCAAAATGCCAAGTGGATAAATCTCTCTAAGACAATTTGAACCTTGGGTTAGCTTTACCCGGGGGCGCTGAGTTGGTCTGCTTTCTGGACAGGCAGGTGCCAAACACCGGTGGTTAGCTTGTGCTAACTTGCAGTGTGGGTACAAGCAGTCAAAGTACTGCAGTGATTGATGAGCCCAGGAAGAGGGGCCCAGTTTGAATGTTGTGTTTAGAAGCTGCAACGAACATTTCTACTGACTCTTCCTTTAAGTAATCGTAGAGTAGAAATAGAAAAAAGGTAAAGGTAATGTGTAACACAAAAAAATATAAAGAGGAAGAAAATAAATTAAAACATTCAAAGCTACATCTTAATCTCCTCCTGTCACCACCTGAGTACATCTTTAGATTCCTGGGCTGTATCCTGATCCCTGTTTGTGCGCTGGGCGGTGGAATGTTGGAAAAAGGTCAAAAATCAGGGAACAGTGAGCGATAAGGAGGTGTAGGCAGGGCGGTGGCAGAGCTTGGCGTCAGGGGGAAGGTGTGAAGGAGTGAAGGGAGGAGGGGGGGAGTACATTTTCAGGGGGTGTGTTGGGGAAGAAGTTTCAGGAAGTGTTGTTGTGTTCCTCAGTCTGTCTGCCCTGAACTGTCTCCCCCGGCTCACCTGCTTCAGGAGTGAAGAGAACATCAGCTAACACTCAGCTGTGCAAATCCGATCAGCTTCACCGCATCTGGGATGTCCGAGTCATCGCAGGTGGAAGCCTGCAGGAGGAGGAAGACAGCAGAGGTGTTTCACATCATGACAGGCTCAATCTAACATCACAATTAATCCTGCTAAAAAATCTCTAAAACAGCTGTAGTGTAACACAGAGTAATCAGGGCTTTAAAATACTGAAAGTGAGCATGTTTTTTCAGATCCAGTATAGCCATGGCCTTATAAAACTGTTTTTTCTGTCATTCTCTGTCATTACCATGAACAGAACAACTGCAGTTTATTTTCACTCAATCCCAAGTAAACTATCCTGCTGTTATAAATACTCATAAGAGAACCAAACTTGTTTTGATCCTCAGCTGAAAACGTGCTGCTCACTGCGTGTGCTGCTCGCTTACAAAACAGCGACAAAAACGCTCCTCCTCACTTTAACTCTCTCATCCAGGTCTACACTCCCCCCCCCACTACGCTCTGCCAATGAAAGGCATCTGATCCAACCTTCACAACAGGGCCCTAAGTCTCTGACTAGACTCTTCTCCTCTGTCGCCCCCCGGTGGTGGAATGAACTTCCAAACTCCATTGATCTGCAGAGTCCCTCTGCACCTTTAAGAAAAATCTAAAGACCCAGCTCTTTCATGAATACCTACTAACTTAATGATGATGGTCTCCATATTATTGATGATGATGATGGTAATGACGATGGTTTTTGTTTGATAACGACGACTTATAAGATGGTTTCTATACTGATTAGAGCTCTCAAGAACTGCCCTCAATGTTGTGCTTTGCCTCTGGTCACTTCCTGTCAGCACCTGTGTGTCCAATCAGACTCAAAGCTGATCGTTTGCTCTTACTGACATTGTTCCCTTTTTTCTAGATCCTTGCTTGTGTTGTACTTACTCTCTGATGTACGTCGCTTTGGAGAAAAGTGACGGGGGGTCATTACCTTGAAACCATAAACAATGTTTATGGAGTGTCCTGATTGTTGAATCTATTTTGCATCCAGTGAAATTTTTTAGCAAAACTCTGAAATGTCAATGCCTAAGACTTTAGACTTTATTGTCCCCGAGGGTAAATTCTTTTTCACAGCACCGTCACTGTCCAACAGAAACAACTCTATTTTTATTGACAGGTCCAACCCACCCCATGATGCGCAGTGGCTAAGCTAGCTAGCAGTTATGGGTTGTCAATGTGTTTATGTTTAAATGTTCTCACATTCAGTCGTATTGGCTGATATGAATCTCATTATGAGTGACTCACTTTATTAGTTTATCAGAGTATTATGTAAGCTATTATAAGAACACATTTGGGATTAATGGCTGCAAAGCCGGGTCTTATCGCCCAACATCTGTGCACAATCTCTATACGCCTGACACTAAATGGGAAAAAGCCCCGCAGCCAGATCACAAAACTGTGTGAAAACAAGAAGCTTTTATAGTATCATGTTATGGCCCAGGACTTTGGAATCAGACAATTTTTTTTTATAATTCTCAGGTATGCTTATAATATGTTTGGGTCTCCATTTCTATGTCCATTTGCAATAGATCAATAGTCCAGCCCCTCATTAAGTCGAGTCTTAAACTGCCTCTCACACCATAAATTGTCTACATAAAGTGTTATGATGTGCCCCCGTAGTCAGGGTTATTATTCTCATTCTCTCATACTCCTCATTTAGAAACACACAGTGAGCATTTCACAGCAGCTTGCAGCAGAACAGAGCCAACATATGGAAAATCAAAGTACGTCTATATATCTGCGTGTTGTGTCCAGCACTGCCCTCACACTGTCTCTCTAGAGACCCCTCCACCTGCAACACTCACGAGCTGCTGATAAGGCAAACGTAACAGAAAGGTCACTTTGTGAAGCACGGTGACCCACAGCACAGATGTTGTTTACCCACGACTATAGAAAGGTCAATTCATTTACATATTTTCTGTTAGCTGCACAAGGACGGACATTATTTCTCCATAAATGCAACATAGATGACTTGTAAAAGTGACATATGATATATCCTTAACTTCATATAACCATTACTGTAATAAAAATGAGTGAAACACAGGTTAGTTGTGGATCAAGGAATAAAATAAATCTAGTTAATTTATGATGATAACAAGATGAATGACCAGCAGGATGAAAGAAGTCTGCTTTTGGTTGAAAATTAAGTTTGACCCTAAAACATTTTGTTCATACTGTTTTTTTATCATTAAAAATGCAATGTTTATTTTGGGAATACAGTTTATCTTGTTTGATGCTGCTTTTTTTTATAGAGAAGACATTTTACCACTATTACTAGTTATTTATTTATTTATTACTAGTTATTGTTTTTGCATGAAAGTGATGAACAGACTTCTGCTGTAAACTGCCTTCAGGCGTTTGTTAATCAGTTTAAAATCATAAAGGCCATTAATCACTGTTTGTGAATTGATTTGTTTTTGAGTCCACTGTATCCTTCCCCTCCTGCTGAAACTGTTCGTTCCTCACTGACCCCTTTCATCAACAAGCTGTTTTTACGGCTGAACGTTGGGCAGCCGGGGCAAACTCGTGAGGGTGTCATCACCACCCATCAATCATGTGGGAACTCACCAGCTTAAAGGTCAACACTTTGTAGGTAGTCGGGTCATCTACAATCTTCTGAAGGTTAGCAGCAACTATATTTGAAGGGGGGCATACAACAAACATGTTGTTAAAAGAAAACAGTTGTGACAATATGTACAAAAACATGACGGAACAAAGAGAAGTAACAATACAAAGATGATTCAAAACGATTTAGACTTTTTGACAATTCTTTTAATAACATATGTTATGAATTGGCGCTATACAAACAAGGATTGATTTATAGAAGCAATTTATTTCAAAACAAACTCTTAACCCCTCTGGAGGTTATGTTGATCAAAATTTGAGTAAATCCTGAAACTTTCTAAGTGATGTGTCAAATCACATGGGCTGAGATAAGTATGCATTGAGACAACACCTGCTCAAAGTACCAAAAATCAAAAGGTGGAACATTACCTATAACAACATCGTGCCCGTGGACCAGGCCGGCTGAGAACAGTTCCTGGGAAACGCCATCGGCCGTGTCTTATGAAAGAATAATACGACAAATATTGGGCCTGCAACATTTCCACTTAGCAGGTAATTGTTTTAGATATTGAATCAGATACTGTCTGGAGCACAAACACAGCCATTAGCTGTTACACACAGCAGCCCACAGTGCCTGGAGATGTTATCACATTTCAAATCCATATACCCAGAGCTCTTACCTCTCCCAGGAGTGAATTCAAACCGGATGTCATTCAGCTCCTTTCTGGAGTTCCTGTAAGGAGAGAGAAGAGGTGGGATTGTACGAGAAGCACCTGGAACATCATTTTTAAAAATGTTGTAGCTCTGACTGCTGCCTGTCTTGGCAAGGACACTCTAGACAAAAGAGGTTTTAAATTCCAACAAGCTTTTCCTGGTTGAATAAAAATTCAAATTAAATAAAAACTAAAGCAAATTGGTGAAAATTAACTCAAACAAGACAGTGTGAGCAAGAAAATTAAAAAAAAGACCTGAAAGGGACTTCAAATAGAGTCGGGGTGAATGGTAGAGTCTGGAGCATAAACTGTATAAAAGAAGTAAATGTATCCTCCAGGTCTAAAAGCTAAGGTCAATGTCAGAGTGTCTTAAACCTGCAGAGACTTTAGTGGTACCTAATCAAAGTCTGATCTATGTTAGCTTTAAAAATAGATTTCACTTGATTTACAACCTCATTACACACTTTACTAACAAGTTAGAAGGACTATAAAGCAAGGGTATGCTTTGGGGCGGGACTAGCTCCTACCACAGCAGCCAATCAGGATATAATAAATCAGGATATTTGTCCCATTATAGTTTATTTCTGTTAATGCTCTCTTCTAATTCACAATCTTTGGTGGTAAGATGAATTAATACTAGGGACTCATTTCACATTGTACATCATCATTTTGATCCATCATTTTATGAATATAAATCCCCTTTTTACCACGCAACTAACTTTGCTTTGCACAGTTTTGCATTTAATAAATCATGCAGCGCACTTTGAGTAAAATGTGCTGCAGCAATGGATAAAGAAACCGAGGACTTGTGCAGAGGACTTCCCCGTAGTAGTACGACTGGACATAAACGTAACATATGGCCAAGTGCTTCTCTAAACACACTCTGAATCCACTGAGGTATTATGTATACTGTAGGGCTGTGAAGAGGATTGTTGTCTGTCAATGAGCCTGACATTTCGCTGCAACGTAACTGTAACTTTGAGGTGGTTTGAGTCGTCAACCCTGGGCTGCAAAAAAACACTTTTCCTGATTATGTATATTTAATGACACCCCCCCCCCCAGCAGCTTTGCAGCATCAACCTGCATTCATTTGCGTCCATAGCATTAAATCTCTCTTTAAAATTTGTCACAGCGCAGTAGCAAGTTCCTGAAAATAGCAGGACACCCAAAATGCAATGAGAGAAGATTAATTTGGTTTGTAGTCTAGTCGAATATATCACACAGCCAGACCTCATTTCAAATGAGATTAGAGCCATAATTCAACACACATAACCAGAGACATATCTGCAATGAGTTTGTTAGAATAAAGTCTGTACCAAACAGTGGGAGCGATGATTTAATACCAGCCGAGCTGCGAGTCAACTTCACTTTTTTCATTTTAAAAGAGTTACGGTTGAAAGAGAAAATAAACAGAGCAGATGGACGTAAACAACAAGTCGACTCCCAGCAGTGGAGCAGAGAGAGCACACAGCCTGGGAGAGGCAACATGTGTGTCAGAAGATCACAACCGTAAACCCTGCACAAATAAATCATTCCTTGTGTTTAGAAAGCATTCTGTCAGACACATGCAGCCATTTGGGATTAGACAGAAGAGGCAGACTGAACGCTGTCATGACGTGTGGGAGTTACAGCTCCTTTTTAAATACCAGTGTGAAGATTTATATTTCCCACAGTTCAACAGCAGTAAAATTAGCATTTAACCCAGCTAGCCCCTTTTTATTTTTGACACATTGTTAACTATCTTACAGGACAGTGTAATTCCACTCGACAATGGCAGGTATACAGTATGACACATCTTAAAAAGCTTGTTTACAGTGGGATGTCTTATATACACTTACACTGGATTATAAATGGTGAATGGACTTGGACTTGTATAGTGTTTTTTAGTCTTCTGACCAATCAAAGAGCTTTTACACCATGTCACATTCATACCTCATTAACCCACTAAGCCACAGATGCTTTCTTAAATATATAAAACTATACTGCAGGGCTACCTTCTATCTATCTATCTATCTAACCTTCTATCTATTTGTTATAAGAGTGCAGCACATTAAATAGTAGATGCCCAACTGTGTTTTTATACTATAGACTGTATAAAAAGATGGACGACATGGCGGCTCCCTGAAAGTGAAGCCAAAATATTTGGCGCTTCCCCCTACTGACTGACTGCAGTATAGTCCATAAGCTCTGTCTCGTCCTAGTTAACAGATGGGACATGAATTAAACTTTAAACTCTAAAAAAAACTTCAAATGCATGATTTCTGTCTTTACGGTTATTTCTCATTGTGTTGATTTACGCGTTAGTATTCACTTTTCTGAGACATTACGTTTTATTTTAGTTATTTGATGCTTTGATTAGTTATTTGGCTTTACTTTGTACAAAGGGAAGCTGCACAGTCTATCTTTATATACAGTTAATAGATGATCAATTGTATGTCTCACTGAGAAGGTGGCAGTGCATATATTGTTAAAAACATTTAACACTTTAATTAATCTATTATATATTAGGGGAATCCACTTTTATCATTTATAAAGGACCCCACAGAGCATATCACATGGCTGAATGCATATAAAAGAAAAGAGCTCAGGCTGCTAAAAGTATCGTCTTGTAAAAAATTAGATCCAGCTTTCAAACAGAACAGAAAAAGCACCGTACTTTGAAAAACTCTAAACTGTAAAATTGTCATTAGGGCTGCGACTAACCCTTGTTCTGCTAGCGCTTCATTTTAAGAGTCTATGAATTCCCAGAGGATTTTTTTTATATATATATATAATTTTCAAGAACCTTCCTGGAAAGAACCAAAGTATGGGTTATTAATCATAGGGAAATGTTGTACACTTAATTAATTCCTTCATTGTAATTTACTGCCAACCTTGTTCTGTCGGTGAACAGCAGCAAAACACTGTAGGACGAGTCTACAGGCAAACCTTTCATTCAATAAATGTGGAGAATAAGCATTTCCAGTTATAAGCTACCAATTAATATTTATGTGGCTGTATCTGAGTGCTTCATCTGGGAACATTTATAGGATTTTCAAGGTTTATTCAAGGACGCTTTATGGGAAGTGATCTGGAAATTATGGAACCATCAAATATTTTATAAAGTGATTGTTCTAGCTAACAGCCTAAGAACAGGAAATGTACCATATACAGTAAAAAGGGGATAGCCAATAAGGGTCATGTTTTGATTTTTTTGATTTTTTTGGCTCTAAAAAACTGACAGAATGGCATCAAAAATCTCAACCCAACTTCAGGACAGGTGGTGACATAACAGGCAGTGCTATTGTCACTAACTTATTAATAAGATATTTCAGAAGCTACTCTGACATTTGTCAACTTCTTGTTACCCTTTATAAAGAAGAACAGAGGGAAATGTCACCTCCACGCTGAGCTGTTCAATGAAATCAATCTGCTTCTGTGCTATTTTTGCTATTTAAGCTCCGATGACATTGCACCAACATTATGCAAGTCTGAACTTCCCCTTCAAGCTGCTGACGAAGCTATTCTCAGGACACCTCGGTGCCTTTGTTGAAAAAAAAGAAAAAGAAAGAAAGAAAAAGATTGAATGAGTTCCAAACAAAATGTTGACAAAAATCCAATCATGCTGCTGCTTTTCCCTCATCTCTGCTTCTGTGGGGATCATATTTGCATAAACTCGTTCTAATGGGCTGAACTCTCTTATTAGTTGAGAGAGGAGAGCAATTAGCCGTTTATTTTGTCCTCTTAAATACATTAACTTTTATTACTTTCGGGCAGAAAATTACATTTTCTGAAAGACATTTTTTTTTTTACATTTGATTGTTTTTCTATTTTATATACAGGATCTGTTTATGTCGGATACTCATATTGACCTGGAACTCATTATCGAAATGTACTCATCTACTTTACACTCATATTCCAGATAAATCTCTCATTTACAGTCACCCCCCTACTCAAACACAGTCACAATATTTGTAACCACGACTGTATCTGGTTCTGCTCGCCAGAACATCGGAAAGAGCCAAAGAAAATCCAAAGTTATGATACAATCTCTCGTTTTCTTATCACCTCATGTGATGATTCACTTCAAAATGTACCAGGCAAATCCTCCATAGCAGTAACATAAGGTCCGCTTTCTTCAGACACAAACAGCTGAGAGTCGACTCAATTACACACAAAACTCCCTCTCAAATAAAGGAAGAAAATTCTGCTTTTAATTCAGCAAAACATGTGCCTTTTAGACGGATCCAAATGAATCAAAAAACATCTACAAAAAAGATGTGCCGTTAATCGAACTTTCAAGTGTTTCATGTTTCTTGCAGCAAGTTTAAATCAAATGTACTGCTCTGTCACGCAATCTTTTTTTCAACTTCAGGGCATTGTAAGTAGAAAACAAAAGCTCCAGTGCATCCTGCATGTCAAACTGGAGAGAGCATGTATATGAAACGCTTGGTAATCCAGCAGACAGGCGTAGTCACTATTAAAGGCCTTGTCTTTTCAGAACAAAAATGCCATCAAGCTTCATGGACTTAAATCTAAGAAGGCGTCCATCACATGTCTGCATCTCTAATGTTGAATATTTTATCAGACAAACCAGAGAGATGATCCGACAGCCTAATGCCCAGATCACATTAAAACAAACATGATTAAAGAAAGGTTTCATTTGTGGAACAGAGGAACCAAAAGGGTCCAAACTTCAGACATTGCCAATTTATTTTCATCCGCAGGTTAAATGAATGACTCTTCATCAGCCACCAAATGGCCGGCCCTCTCCTGTAACATTCATACAACTATTTTTTTTTTTTTTAGATTAAGCTGAGAATAAAATGGCTTGCTGTGCTGTGCTGGACGCCTGGGGAGGGACCTTCAGATGTCTGTTCCACTAAGAGTCGGCTCTGTGAGCAGCTCATCAGGGAGCTACAAGCAGACCTTAGAATGTCCAAAAATGCACCATTGTCTGTCTGGGCTGCACCCTTCAAATATTCATCTATCTTTCTCTGTTGGTTTGTCTGGAATGGATACTAAAGAATGGAGAGTATGCATTGAAAGGTCTTCCTTATATTCTCTCAATGCACATGAAAGGGTACTAAATGAAGCAGTTTTTTTTTTTTTTTTTTACATCGATCATTACGAGGCTGAGTCACAAGCCTTGATTTTTCAATCAAAATATATTCTAACTAGGGTGCAGTGAAAGCAAGGAAGCAGATTGTGGAGCACTGCCAAAGAACCAATGGAGTGTGACGTTCTCCTCCATATGATACGACTGCTGAGACTAAAGGGATATGAAGGGATCCAAAGCAATGAGAGATCTCCTCTGCAGCAGCCAATGATCATTACACCTATTCAAAGCCTGCGTGTTTAGGACAAAGTCAAAATACCCTGCAGCATTTTTTTAAAGCTGCTTTTTTCAGACAACCTCGAGTGATTTTCTGAAGATTTCCCCTTTGTATTATCAGCAAAGAATCAGGCCTTGATCTGAAAAAATCAACCTTACCTTAGCCGTAGTACCATGTTTACAGCACCTGGAATGTAGGGCTTATCCTCAAATGGTTCAACCTGCAGGACACAAAACTCTGATGATGAGACAGTTTACACAGCACACACACACACACACACACACACTAATAGACTCAGAGAAGGCCTGAACAAAAATGTTTTGTGTGAAAGACAGGAAAAATCTTGTGCTAGATGGCCAGTTTTTTCTGGATGAAGAAATAAAACACTATTGTGTGCAGCAATGACCACACACTCAGAAACTGTGGTTTATGTTTTCAGAAAAATCGTCCATTGAATGCAGCCGCAAGGAAAAAGTTGTGTGGGAAAAGAAAGGGAACAATACATAAAGGTATATTATTATTATTATTATATTATTGACCCTACGTAGACTTAAACATTGGTGTACTTTTATCTACAAGTCTATTTTAGGTCTGCTTCCTTCGTACCATCTGTCCTTTATTGGTCTTAGTACAGGGACTTATAACCTTCGATCTCAGGACCCTATCTTACTGTCTGTTCCAAAAGTCCGAACTGAACTGGGGAAAAAGGCCTTTAAGTTTGCTGCTCCTTTTATTTTGAACGAATTACAAAAAGAGCTGAAACTTAATGAACTTCTCTCGTTAGGTGCTTTTAAGAGGAAGTTAAATGACTTGGAGGCGGACACATCTGGCTGTAGATGTTCTTCCTGATGTGTTTGTGGATGATTTTTGACAAACATTTTGCTTTTCAGATTTGTTATTTGTGTCTTTTAATGTATTTTGTATTTGAGTGCTTGGCTGCTCGTTGTCCGTGTGAGACTCTGTTAATGTTTTGCTGCCTGTCTCGGCCAGGACACTCTTTGAAAAAGAGATTTTTAATCTCAATGAGTTTTTTTCCCGGTTAAATAGAGGTAAAAAATAAAAATAAAAATAAATGTTAGCTATTATTATTACTTTATTACATACAGGCTCTTTGTGTGGCACATAATGGATATTAAAGGATAAGAAATGACTGCTGAGTATCTGTCAAAGCTAATCTCTAACTGTTAGCACAGGACTACACCTCAGACTGCAGACTCTCATTTTTAAAATGACAATAGCCTTTTGAAAATAGGTTGCAATGGCACTGAGTCTTTAGATGAGATACACCCAAGCACGGAGCTGGCACCGTCAGGCAGACAGCCATTTACTCTGAGTTATTACCACTGAGAGCATCCCTACAGGAGACACACATTCACACATGTAGACACACACACACACACACACACACACACACACACACACACACACACACACACACACACACACACACACACTTTGACAGCATGGATGTAGACACACACACACACACACACACACACACACACACACACACACACACACACACACTCACACAATCAGACAATCAGTGTGGCATCAAGGTCATTGAATCATGACAAATTAGAGCTGCTGCTGAGTCCCTCACCTGGGGATGCTGAATAGACAAGCCTTCAATAGGGACATTGTTAGCGTTCTCCTCGTTCTAGGGGGAACAGAACGAGAGGCAGAATCGTGCAAATGCTGTTACAAACTCATGACTCGTTTTATCAAGACAACAAAGGATCGTCAATTTGAAACAATCAAGGAGGAGCGATTTCCTGCCTCATCGTACAGATTTAAAACCTGTGCTTTGCTGCTTTTGATTAAACTCCATAAAACATGTTCGGAGACATAAACTGATTGAGTTCATGATTCATTCAAAAGCTTTTTGCTAAATAGGAAATTAATTGCATTTTGCAAAAGACGCCCCTCTGCCATGTTATCAAATTATACAGCAGCAAACAGGATCAAGCATATTTGTCGATGTCATAAAGATTTTTGTAATTGTGATTTAGTCATTTTAAACTCGGTGCACAAGAGAAGCAGCTGACTTACATCTTTGGCCTCATCTTTGACCCTTCGTGACTGGAGGGAAAAATCAAACATACGTTAAAATTCTTTAAAGGCAAATAAACACAGGAAATAACAATGACATCCTCTTTTTCCCTTCAAAGTATCATTTGAAAAGAAAACATAATAAAGGTTCAGAGGGACCCAGACATTGTGATTTTTTTAGAAAACAAATCTGTGATACTTAGCAAGAGAAGTGCGCAGGATTTTTTCTTTTCAAGTGATAGTTTTTCACGTCCAAAAATGTGATAAACTTTTTTAATTTAAAGTGTTGATAGATTGTATCTCCATTATCTCCATCCATCCATCTGTGTGCAGTCCAAACTTAATTTTTTTACTTTCATGACAAACCAGCCACACAAACTTCCATAAAACAAAAACAACAACAAAAAACATTAACAAGCCGTAGATCAATGACAGGAAACTAAAAAAACACACTGTAAAAAGTGCAACAGCCTACATCCTAAATCATGACTTTTGGTAACGTATTAGTTATTGCATCATACATTAAAGTGGGGTATCTTTATCAAAGGGTTCTTTGATCATGGCTGTCTACTTCTTCTTGCCTCAAATCCTCGCAGCTAGCTTCCAGCTCATTACAGCAAACTCATGACAGGCTCGCTCAGAGATAAACCATCTGCTATAACCCCCCCCCCCCCCAAAAAAAAAAAAAGAAGAAAAAAGGCTGACTGATCAGTGAGGGAAGGAGTGTGCAGGGTCAGAGAGACGGAGGGGAAGTATCATAAGAGTTTGATCTACAGGTTAGACATGACATGCAACTATAATGAGCGACATCTCGGTAGCTCAAAGTTTGAATTGCCCTGAATAGGATTACATTTCTTATGACTACAAATCAAGCTGAAATAAAAAGAAAGAGAGTTGATGACACCTACATCATCCCTGACTAACACATATGCATGTTGAGATAAAAATGAAGAATCATGAGTAGATATTAAACTTTTACTGGTCTGTCGGAGTCTCACCTACCCTGCCCTGATTCACCGCTGCCTTGCCTTCCTCGCTGCCTTCGTCCAGCTCGTCGTCACTCCACTCCCAGTCTCCATCCTCCGTCTTGTGCAGGTGACCACTGGAGCCCGGGACCCTCCTCACCTGAACCATGACAACACACAGCAAGCACACCTTATCTAAATGACATCATTCAATTGACTCATACAACATAATATTGATTGAATATGTTTTTTACATGCCGTTATATTTGAGAGAAACTGACCAGCTGCACAGGTGTAATGTTAAAAGTACACAAGCCAAATGATTTTGTCTACATACTGTGTGTCCTATTTTGCTCTATTTTTATGTTTTCAATGTTTGTATGTCATTTTCAATTGGGTACATTTTATTTGTGATAGTAAATATTCTAAATTTGTTATTTTTACTGTATTTTATTTTAACTTTGTTTAATCTCTCAAGGTGAGGTTTGGAGCCCTCATGGGTTTCTACCTCACCTGCACATGTGTTTTATTTTTTATTTGTTTTATTTTTCTGTTTGACTCTTATTTAAAAAAAAATGATAATAAACTAAACTAAACTAAAATTCAAGGTACACAAGGTGTATGTTTGGTATGGTTGCTGTGATTCTTGTTTTAATTAACTTTTATTGAACATATCTAACTTAAAACACATTACTATATCTGGTCATTATTATTTATACATACATATGTACAGATATTCACTATCATATTATAGATTGAGCTTTTTAATTTATTAAACATTACCAGCCACTTTTGCACACTGTATATTTTAATGACATTTCTTGTTTGTCTTTATAGTCTTATTTGTACATTTTTTATGTTTCAGAAACCTCATTTTTTTAAGTGAAGTTTTGATCTGACCAAAAGGAAATCTTTTTTTGTTCAGTGTTAGATGCAATTTCTTGAATGTGATTTTAAGCTGCTTTAATATTGTATTTTTATTAAATTATTAATAAAGTACCTTTTCTATATCCATAAGGCTCCATTTGAGCAATTATTCATAAAGACTCTGATTTATAACATTTAAAAAAATCTGTGGAGTTTGTAAATCAAGCAACACGTCTCCAGTCTGCCAGTGTAAGGTTATTCAGCAGAGCACACAAATCTGTAAGCCACCAACTCCAGGCTCATATAAATTCCCCAGCATCAGACAAGGTCGTAGTCCCAAAAAAAAACGGAAAAAAAACGACCCTTCTGGTGGAGCCAGGATTATTTCCAATCCTGACCCTGTTCTGCTCCGAAACAGACACAGATCAATGGACCTAGCAGCCGAGCATGAACAGCTCACTGACATTCACTCAGAAAAAAAAATGAACCACTATATGCATTTTAAGAAAGAAGTAAGAAATTGCAGGGGATAAAACTGACACACAGTTAGGTCACATTCAATATCTTGAATCAGGTTTCTGAAAGCATCCATGCAGAACTCAGTCAGTATTCATGTATTTGTGCACTGGATCACACATTAATATCAATCTTATAACATTTGGATCAAGAGTCACATTGCTTGTATGCCACTATTGTCTATTCTCAAACAATAACCAGTGAGAATCATTTGGAGACTTTATTGTGGGTGTCAGGGTGCCCTCTGCTGGTCCATAGACTCACATGTACCAAAGGTTGTCTGCACTCCTCTGGATGTTTTCTCCTGTACTTACATGTTTAAGATATGACCAAAAAGTTTTGACAAATCTTCTTTTTTTTTTGTCAGTTAATAGACTTTCCGCTAATCCTCACATTCTTATTTTGAGGAAATGATTATCCCAACTTTCATGAGCTTTTCATTTAAATTTGCTTTGTTGGTGACAGCTGACCGGGACAATCTGCCATCGCCTTTTCATTGACTGTGCTCAAGGAGAGGTGAGGTCCAATCCTAAACCCATCTGAAGAGTCGGGTTTCTTAAAGTCTCATCTCTAAAACTCAACTCAACTCCTACAGAAAACCACACAGGACAAAAAAAACAGAACACCAAGAAGCAGAGGTACAAAAGGGCAGAGAGGATGAGGCCAAGATGTTCAAGGTGGACCTGTTCAGAAGGTTTAAACTAGACAAGATCTTACAAGCAATCTTTGGGTCACATAATCCAGAGATGATATTGCATGTCTATGGATACTATTTGCTGAATTGATGATGTAGATGATTGTGTAGGTCGAGTCAACACATCATAGAAAGGGTACCAACTCTTTGTCTTATACTCATATGGATTGGTTTAGAACCCCTTTTGGTGTTAAAAGGTGATGTTCTGTCCCACAAGGTGTTTTCTCTTTACACAAATGACCTGGCTCTTGAAATTATGAATGCTAATTTTGGTATGCGTTTGAATAATTGAACTGTGGGGGTTTGTGGTTGTACGCAGATGATAATGCTCTACTGGCTGAATCAGAGGATGATCGACAGAATGTGTTCAATGTATTAAAGACTTGATGTTACAGATGGAGGCTGTCAATAAACCAGAGTAAAACACAGATCATTCATATAAAAAAAAAAGGCTCTTCCAAGAAGTCTGAAGATTTTGACATTTTGGGAATGACATTAGAATACAGTCTGAGTTTAAATATTTAGGAATTACATTTGATTCATGTAAGCTTGCAGTGAAATTTCATGACAGTAAAAAAATGTGCAGTGAATATTTGACACTTTCAGAAGGAATTCACGAATAAACACAACATGTAGTAATTACAGTATGTGCTCAGATAGGTTCCAGTCTTTAAGATGATACCACTGAGTTAGATTAAATCTTGCATTATTTGTTTCAGCGAGGACTATAATTAAGAGTGTAAATTGGGGTCGCTGGTGGCGCAGTTGTTAGTGCGCGCGCCCCCATGTATGGAGGCTGTGGTCCTCCAGGCGGGCGGCCCAGGTTCGAATCCCACCTGTGGCTCCTTTCCCGCATTTCATTCCCTACTCTCTCTTCCTGATTTCCATCTCTATCCACTGTCCTATCTCTCCATTAAAAGCCCAAAAAGATATCTTAAAATAATGTATATAGAAACTAAATAAAATTGGTCAATAAAAAAAGATCGATCCCTGCAGAACTCCTATGTTACAATCAGCTTAAGCAGAGCATGTATCATAAAATATTGTGCAGTGTTTTCTTAAACATGACTCCATTCATGTGAATGCATTGCTAGAGCAGTTCAAATTTGAGAATCAGGACTAAAGAACATTAGGATCAACAGTCTCAAAAGCCTTTATTTTAATTTAAGAAAATAGCACCAACAATGCAAAACAAAAAAAAGAAGTCTAAATTGTTAAAAAGAAATGGTGGTTCATATTCACCGCATTGACAACTTCATTATGAAATCCTAAAGGACCTTTGAGTTCGTTGTTACGCTAGATGCCTGTGGTTACCTTATTAACCATCAACAAACCTCAACAACATTACACCTCCCTCCTTATTGACACTCGGCCCTGTCCGTGCGTAATGTTAACGTCATACACTGTAACAGCCCTGCTATCCACTATGCCCTCCATTTACCCCCGACCAGCCAGTGAATTTCCACCCCTCCGCCCGACCACTCTGCCTCCCGGCGATGGCCCTCTGTTCCCATTTCTGTCCTGGCCATTCAAGCAGAGTGTTATATGAAACCAATATCAGCTGTGCCTCAAACTGCACTTCCTCTCTGTAAACTGTGAGCATCAGAGCAAGCACACTTAATGATAATGTGATCCCTTTTTTGTGAAATCCTGTCCGTCTTTAATATGCCACGTGCAGACAGCTCTGACACAGGACGTCCGTAAATTGGTGCTGCCTGTCTTTGAACAGCGTGGGCCCATATTTTTACATAATCCACACAACAGTATGGGCAGAAAGTGTTTGAGGTGCTACAGAGAGTCAGAGTGCGTTTCTTGTGTTGACTGTAAATGCAAACGCTCGGGTGGAGTGAAAGACTTCAGTCGATCCCAGTACTCTGTCATAATTTGTTCATGTTTAGTCAATAGCTGAGATGTTTTACAGGGAATGTTTGTGTAAACATACCTTCTTCGCTCTCTGGGAAATCTTTGGTGCACGACACAAAAGCTTTTCAACCAAATGTTCTCTGTTCTGCAAGACAAAATCACAACATCGAAGTGTGATTAATAAACAGAATTAAATGATGGATGACCTAATGATGAGTCATGGACATCATAAGTACACTGTGTATATATGGCTCAGAGGAGGGTCGGCTCTAGATGATGTACAAATAGTAATTCAACGTTTTTAAAATGATGTTTTTAAAGTGTTCAAGTTAAAAGTAGGACTAAACCATTTTAAATGGGAACAACATTTTGAGGCTCCACTGCTTGGTCCTGCTTAATCCCATTCATAACATGAACATCATACAAACTCTGCTAATAGCTGATCCAGATAATCTCTCTCTCTTTTGTGTTGTAGATACTCAGATCAGCTTTTTTAACAGCTTTTCCCCCTCTGAACGAGAACATCAAGACACAACTATTAATCACCATAATTATACAGTATAACATGATGTAATGTTGTTACATATGTTACATGTGTAATGTAAAACAGGATGTAACCAAGAGTCAAATATCTAGACAGTAACAGGTTTGTGTTGAAGAAGATCAACTCTGAGTACCTTCTCAGTATGTGGATCTACAGTAAATCTATCTTTTATCATAAATGTACACAGTGTGGATTAAACACATGAAAACAAGGCATAGCCAGTTATATGTCATGGTGGCATTTTAAACAGTGCATTGTTTAATATACTGAAGTTTAAACCAGACTAAACAGAATCTAAAAATAAACAAAGCAAAATTGTAGGTGAAAAACTTGAGATTGAAGCAAATACCTTGGCCTTTTGGAAGAATTTACACTTTAAAAGCTCTGCAGCTGTAGGTCTAGAAGAAAAAAGAAAGTACACTTGTTTAAAAACAATGAAGCAAAGAATTGACTGAATAACTTGATGACACATTGCATCATCTCTTTTCACTGATGTATGTGCTGGGTATAAGACTGGGGTGCTAACCGTTTGGCCGGATCCTTCTGAAGGCACATGGTTATTAGCTTCCTGAACGATTTGCCGTATTTTTTTAGCACTTCTTTGTCCTCTACACCCGTCTCTAGAGTGGGCGGATCATTCTGTAGGGTAAGCATTAAAACCTAAAAAAGAAAAATGGAAGGAAACAAAAAAATGGTCAGAACCACCTTCACAATTCTGCAAGAAGGCAGACGGGGAAAAGAAACTCAAAGCAGGAAACAGTTTGTAGAGAGAAAGGTTTATTGAAAGTAAAACCGCAGCTCACTTTAGATAAAAGGTTCCCTGTTTACTAATCATTTGGTTTCCTTATTAAGGCAAAGGCACAGGGTCAAAAATAAGCTCTGGGCTTGATTTTTTTTCTTGCTAATTATGAAACCTCAGACACATTGGTTCAGGAGAAAGTTTAGAGTTTACTGGTAGTGCTTGCTTTTTTTAATGTGAAAGATCTGGTAAAAAACTACACAAATAGTTGTGAGTATTACTCTACTGTTTAAGAGCTACAAATATAGTTATACAGAAGACATACTGTACCTTCATGGGAGGGTAGCGGTGATATGGTGCTGATCCTGTTGCTAACTCTATGGCTGTTATTCCAAAACTCCATATATCTGCTTTGAAATCATAGCCTCGAACCTACGGAAACAAAGAAACCATCATTTGTTATGTTAAATGAAGTCTCTGGGGTTAAATGCTAAGTCATGATTTAAGTGGTTAACATGTCAGAAATAAATCTGCTAATCGCATCACATCAAGAAAAGGATTTCCACTAGGCAGAAGTAGAAGCTATCTCAGGCGGATACATCTAGAATATAATATAAGATGAACTAAGTGTCACCTGCAGCTGCTTCTTTGAACAATAAGAAAATGACTCACTTGTTCCATCACCTCTGGCGCCATCCAGCACGGTGTGCCCACAAAGGTTTTTCGTACTTTGTTTCTCGTCATGTCGCCCCCTGTGGCTAGAAATGCACTAACTCCAAAATCTGAACAGAAAAAAAAAAATCTAAATTGAGTGAATCCAAAGTTCAGTGATAAAGCCCCTCCCTCAGAGGGGAAACTAATATCGGACTAAGAGGGAGGTTTTAGTCAATATCAGATATAATGCTGAGATGTGATTATTTTACTATATTAAGATTTCTACTTCACAACTCCAGACATATGATCTGTCTCAGATTATTCAGTTTAGGATTAGAACACAATGCTCTATTTATTCATTGCCTTCTTAATGAACAAGCACAATCCTTTTCAACGTTCAGGCATTCAAGCTTTCAGTTTAAATCAATCAAATAAAAAAAAGTGTGTGAAAGTGTACAACAGTAGTTTTCCAACCCACCTGCAATCTGAACAGATCCATCTTCTCCAAGAAGTATGTTTCCAGCTTTCACATCCCTGAGGTCAACAAATCACAAACACAGTCACACTACAAAGTCATGTGGGGCAGCATTGATTCTGTCCATGAAAACGGGTCAAATAGACCACCACCATCTGGCACTCTGCCCAGAGGGGACTGAAATGTAAGCCTGCCTTTCACTGACCTTGAAACCCAGAACACATCAACTACACTGCTTGTGAATAAAATGACATAACATTTTTAACTCTCGTGTGCAGAGCATCTAATAATCACATCACCAATGCACCTTTTGAAAGTTGCTGCTAGGTTTGCTAACGAGTTCCTCAACTCTTTTAACTGGAGTTTGCAAAGGGGGCAAAACTTTGGAGCTCTCTGCCCACTGGCATAAAATTAGAGAGCAACAGGAATGCTTTTAACAGAGGACTCAAACAATGGCTAAAATCAAAACAACAGTGCTCACATGAATAGCTTCTGACTGGTTTATTGTTTGATCATGCTGCCTTTGCTCTACAGTTTATGTCTATTTATTTATTCTCTCCTTATTGTTTTCTCTGTTTTCTCACTTTTCTCCCTATCTTAATTGTTTTCCTTTCAAAAGCCTCCTGTGGACCGGTGTTGAGAATGAGCATGCTTGCTAAAACACTTAAACAATGCATCTGGTTCATCCAATGTATCTGTGATGTCCATGCCAAATAAAGTCTATCATTATTATTATTATTATTATTATTATTAACTAAGCAATGAAACAACTATAATACAAACAGCAAAACTTATAAAAATAAAAATGAAAAAGTCAAATTGCTTGATTACCTGTGAATCTGTCCATTTCTGTGCAGGTAGTCCAGGCCCTCTAGGACTTCTTTTAGTATAGTAGCAATTATAGGCTCATCTAGCGATCGATTCTTGTCCTCCTCTTTGTTTGTGTGCTTTATTATATCCAGCATAGAGCCTAAAAATACACAGCAAAATAACCATTAAGTCCTTCAGTTCATTTTTCACATTTTAATTAGAATCCCCCCCAAAAACACTGCAGACACTCATTACATCATTAATATCAATGACTGGCAGAAAATCCGTTCAGTGTGTGTTAATTGCTTGTTATCTTTAAAACAGTTCAATGTGCAGGAGAAATACATAATACGGCTGTAGCTCTGTGAAAACAGCCATAAAGGATGTGCAAAGGGACATCATCAGAGCAAACGGGTTACTTACTGTGACATGTAACAAATCGTTTTCTACTGGTTCTATAAAACGGTTTTAAAGCCAGCTTTAAAGACTGGGCCGAGGTTAATGGTTCTGAGGGTCATGATCTGATGTTTTGAAAGTGAAAAATTCACATTGTGGTTGAAATGTATCATTTCTGTCATATTTGTATTTACATGTTAATATAATGGTTGCATTAATGTAGTCAATAACAGTTTATCCAGTGTAGAGGTTGACTAATATATATTATCCTGGTCCATACAGTTCTGTCTTAAATCATTTGTGTATGTGATTTCCCCGCCATATCTTTCCATGAACACACTTTTTACAGAACATATAACACAGAAAACAATGCGTGGGGTGATTAAGAATTGGTGTCATCAGGTATTTTAACTCAAACTTAAGCTTACTGACTCAGGCTGCCCGATCGGAGGCCTATAGCCTCCATGCATGGAGCATGATCTAACCGTGACTCCATCAGCACCCCGATTATTTTTATTTTTTTTATATATATATACAGTACAAGTGATTTAAAACAGAGGTAAATCTTACCTAGTAATCAACAGATTAAAGCAACGGGAAATAAAAACAGCATCATCACATTCACAGAGCATTCATGTATTTTGAGGCCTGAGCATGTAGGATGTGTCTCCATGAAGAAAGAAAGCTGAAGCTCACCTCCACTCAGAAGCTTCATAACTAACCAAAGTTCATCCTTCACTACAAAGGAGGTGTAGTAGGTGACAACATTGGGATGGTAGCACTGGCTCATTGCTTGGATTTCTTTCTATTGAAAGGGTGAAAAAGAGAAGATACCATGTGAAAAAAGTCTAATTTAATGTTGAATCGTTTTCTTTTTTACATCTAAAAGAAACTGTAAAACATTTATTGTTACAAACCGTTAAGTATGATGAATTATGAATGATAATATGGATGGGGGGGGGAGGTAGTAGTACAGCTTCAGAGACTGCTACAAAATACCTCTATCCACTGAGAAAAATAAGCCCATATTTTATGTACTCACCAAAAGCTCATCCATGCTGGTCTGGCACTTTTCCAGGTTTATTCTCTTTATGGCAACGCGCTCCTGTCTGGGGGTACAGAGGGCTGCCTGTACCACAGCTGTGGCCCCGCTACCTGGAATCACAGACACAACAGAGAAATCACAAAGTGCAGGGGAGTAAAGAGGGACACACATAGCTAACAAAAAAATAAAAAATAAATCTCTCTGTGGGGTCATGGTATGCATCTGCTTCACAGTTTTTTCTTTGTTTTGATTTTCATCCTCTGTGTCTGCCGACTGAGACATTAGACTGAACACAATAAAATAAACTGACTTTGACTACAACCTTTTTTTTTTCTCCAACGTGATGGGTTGTTTACTTGTCTCATTACAAATCAAGCCATGCTGGTGTAGTTGTTGACACCTACAAGCTGTGACACACAGCATACTGCCCGCCAACTGCTAGCAGCAGATAAGGCAAAAGAGAAAACGCAAGAGATGTGACTGCTCACCATTTGATTAAGAGAACAGAGAGGGGGGTCTCCCTTATTCATCACAGTCAGCAGCAAACAGCTGTGGTGCTAGTTCTTATCATTGGTGATATGACCTGTGAGCTCATCTGCACAGTACATGCACAGGCCAAAAATATTTACAAAAACTTCCTCTGGCTCTCTGTTATGTTCATTTGAGATTTTCATTGTTTTCATTTTTCTCACTTTGAATGATTCATGACAGCACTAAAGTTTTCCCCAGTCCATAAAAGTAAAATTACAGCAGGAAAGTAATGTGTTTCAAATGGTTAGTCCTTAAGTTTACAACAGGTGTATCTACAGTTCTCTCTAGTGAACAAAAACATACTGGGTAAATCATGATTATAAGCTACATTCAGTAAATTGTTTTTTCACTAAAAGTTTAAAACAACACCTTGTGAGTGAGCATGTGTCAGCTCAGTGTCTGCAACCCACATAGATGAACCTTTGAGATCTTTAATTAAAAATAGAAATGGCAGCACTGACAGCCTATCATAAACTGAACATCTGTGTTTAAGACTGCTGGCAGACATTAAAGGCACATTTTTTAAATATTACTTTGATTTTATAACATTATTTTATAGTTTCACAAAAGTGTGCGGCCCCTTTTTCTTACTTTGCAGACCAAATGACTCAAATATTAGTCAGTTGCAATAAGTTTGTTATAGCTAGAAGTTCAGTCTCACTTTTTGTTAACTCACAGTTTTAGTGATGATATACTTTTAAGGCATATTGACTTTATTGTTTTATCATATTATTAGAAATATTGATAGTTTCTGTATTATCATAATGTTAAATGCATGTTGTATTTTAATGATTGGTCACTTTGAGAGGCTATTTAACTTTGTTTACATGCCAACACAGATAACTGAACTTTACATCTGTGATTGTATTAATGGCTATTAAACTGGACATAAACTCATAGTAGTAGTTACTCTCTAATAACTAGTGAAGAAGACTCCAAGACAAAGTGACATTTTCAACCCCGTGTAGTAACCTGCGTTTAGAGACACAAAACGGTAGTTTCCTTCAATGTGCTTATTGACATCCGCATTGCAAAACATTGCTGGAGGTAGGCTCCAGAATATGAAAATGCCGGTAGGCCCTCATCGTCATTCAGAGATGGTAACCCTCCGCGGCATGCCTTTTCATGACAATATAGCGTCCATCACATCTCCGGGTACTAACCTATGACTTCCTGCAGCTCGTACGACTCCCTGGTAATTGGCCAGCTGGTTGTCAGCGCTGGTTGCGGATGGTGGACTGGAGCCGGAGATTCGCCTTGATCCGCCATGATGATGATGATGATGATTCTGCGCTAGTCAGCAGCCTCTCTGAAGCGGACAGACAGACAGACACGACGTGAGGGAGAGAGGCAGACAGTCAAATCTGACCTCCTCCTCCTCCTCCTCAGTACAAGTGTCAGCTGGCGGCTGTGGCAGAGCAACTAGCGATGAGCACAACCCGGAAAATAACGGACCGCACTCATGCGCACTCACTACCATTCCAGTAACATGCTTTACAACACGAGGCTTCATGTACACAGGAAGACATCAGTTTAAATCAATCATTTCATATGACTACCAAGATTCAAGATTCAAGATTCAAGATTCAAGATTCAAGATTCAAGATTTGTATTTGTCACATGCTCATACAGATGTGCAGTGAAATGTAAAGACTGTTCCGCAAGGCCATGCAAAAAACATTCAAATTACTAATACACAAAATTACACTAAAATAGAATATAATGTAAAATTTAAAAAATAATTATATGAATATACAAAATATAGAATATAGAATAATGTAAACAGTGTAAAGTGTCACCACCGGCTCTACTCCTGTTATTCACTTATTATTATTATTATTTCACTATAGGCTTACACTGTTTAATAATACTCTGTGTGATGTGTTTTTTTTAAAAACATTATCTTGTAAAACGGCCTGGCAGCTGCTTTGTGTAAGACAGGAACACGTTTGTGTCACATGCAGTCACAACTGAGAGTGACGTTAACACTGGCCACTAGAGGGCGCCATGAGTTCATTATATTGTCTAGTCACCTTTGTTCAACACTGACAAGCTGCAGTTTGACACGCAAAATTATTTTTAATTAGACCTGAAAGACTTAAGCTAACCACAAATGAGTTTTTAAATAATTGGCAATCGGTCAGTCAGTATAAGAACAATCGGCCGAAGATGTTGGAATGATCTTGGTTGATGTGGATGGAGAAGATACTGTTCTGTGGCTGGAAATGTTCACCCTTTTTATAATGATTTATTGATATGCTAAATACAACAATACGCATTTCCTATAATTAAATATAATAATTATAGTTGTGTCCTTTTTTGTTGAGTAGGTACTATATGAAATGTAGGGTTAGGGTTAGGGTTATGTTTCAACTTTGATAGCCTACTGAAATCCTGAAAGCCTATAGCCGAAATATAGGAAAATATTGAGTTTAACTAAAATATTGAGTTTAACTATTATAATAGGCTACTGGTTTTAATGTATGTTTCATTGTATTTTTTATTATAAAAGGCATACACCATAAACATAAAATAATAATTAAAGAAATCCAAAAGCTATTAAATTAAACAGTAGGATGAGAAACGATTTGGTATTCAGAACTGAAAAATGAGAACACTTTGTAACGTCATCATTAATGTATGAAATGTGTTATAAGGTCAGGTTTACGTTCACTGATGTAATCTAAGCTGTCAGTAGGGGGCGCAGTTAACCAGGCATGAGGTACAGAAGCCAGTTGCTTACGTGTTTACATATAAACTGCACTTAAATATCACTTTTTTAACATTTTTCATTTGAGTTTGGCAGAAATCATACAGTAAACGTGACGCCTCAATTGAAAGCAGGTTATTGTCAAAAAAAAAAACAAAAAAAAAACATCCAAAAATAACAGCAAGAGATATGCAGGGCAAACGACATAAACAAAGAAAAAAACCCTTAAATGAAGAAACCATAAAGTGTTTGTTTAAATGCTGGTGTTAAGGTGGGATGCATAAAGTGGTTTACCTTGGTTACGCCGTGGTATCGCCGGTATAACGTGCACTGACTGTATTGCATGACATTTCAACGCACCAATCAGTCGCAGAGGAGCTGATTGAGTCTACTTCCCTACACTGGAAGAGCCGAGGGGAAACGGACGGACGGAGATTTCGCACGGATATCTCATCATCAGCCGAGTCTGCAGGCTCAGATCGCCTTTGAGAGACCTCCGGGATACAGCAGGGACATTGATTTCTCTTCCGACCCGGTCTCAGTGCCTGCTGCAGGGAGATGGCCGGTATTCTGGCGTGGTTTTGGAACGAGAGGTTCTGGCTCCCCCATAATGTAACCTGGGCAGACTTAAAAAACACAGATGAGGCTACGTTCCCGCAAGCCGAGGATCTCTATCTAGCGTGTCCTTTAGCATTCTGCATCTTTATGATCCGGCTGGTTTTCGAAAGGTGGGTGCAATGATCCAGGTGGCTGTGATACGGTTTTGTTATGTCGATGAAGTGTTCCTGTGACTGAGTGATGCAGCACGCCAGCCTGTTACCTAAACAATGGCATCTTATCGGGTTAGCCCACAAATCACCGGGGTTGATCATCCTTCTCTCTGCAGGCCTGCAGCACTGCCTCTCTGTCTGCATCTGTCAATGCTCTCACATTGCAGACAAGTTGCCATACCTGCCCAGAGCCAGCTACACTTATCTAAGATCAAACTCTGCTTAAACAAGCTTCTTTTGTTTTAACTGTACTGCTCCAGTTATGATATGAATGTTGATGTTAATGTTGCTGATGTGTGCATGTTTTTGATCAACCATCAAGAAAGAGTAAAGCACAGACCCCTGATGATCTAAAATGAATATGCTGTGTGTCATAAATCTCTTTAGGTAGGAATGAGTGAGGCCTTAAAACTGCCCACTGGACAGTAGTCATTTTCAGTGTTTGTACTTTTAAATAAATAATAATTTATAGTGGGGATAATCTGAAAAGTAAGATAAACAGCCATGTAGCCCATGTGTTGTAAGGAATATATTGTTGCATGAATTTATTCATGTAGTTTTATTGACATCATTACTTATTAAATTGGGTAGTTATTAGCACATAACCCCATCACTGCTTGCGAGAATATTCAATATTAAATGGGAAAATATTTGTTACATTTTATCAAGAAACCATGACTGTGAAGTGGTACAATGCCAAATGTCATGTGTCAAATGAACATCAGCCTGAATATATCACTTGTGCTAACATTTCCATATCCTTTTTTAATTCTTTTAACTAAAAATCTAAATGACTCAAGATGGCATCTGAAGTACCACTAGTGATCATAACATTGTCATGTTGTAATAGAACAAGAACATTTTTTAAAAAAAGCAGCTGCACATTTCCAGGTAAAGAGATCTGTTACCGAGCACCTGCAAGGACTAAATGTTCCTTCTGGTGTTTGAATGGCTAGTGCCCAGACCCTTAATATGAACTTTGAATTCTCCTCAGAGATCATGTGTCTGTAATGATGTAAAAGTGTTTCATGATCTTTAAAATTCCAGGTTTATTGCCAGACCATGTGCCATGGGCCTGAAGATCCAAGCCAGCGGGCCACAGAAAGCACAACCCAACGCTATCCTGGAGAAGGTTTTCACTGCTATTACTAAGGTGCTGCATGCGTTTGTCTCTTATTTTCAATGTTTCATCTCGTGACGTTTCTTCCACAATGACAGCTGCTTCCAACATTTAGAGTGTTTATTTTTTAATCATTCCAGCACCCGGATGAGAAGAGGTTGGAGGGCCTGTCCAAGCAGCTGGACTGGGACGTGAGGACCATCCAGCGCTGGTTCAGACAACGCCGAAACCAGGAGAAGCCAAGCACCCTTGCCCGATTCTGTGAAAGCATGTAAGTCAAAACGCCTACAACACCTCACCACACAGCACACCTAACTCTGCTGCGGGTCATTTCCCTCTGCTTTGAATAACATTTAAAATGGTGAAAGAACAAAGACATGCTTTTTAACTTGCCAGAGGAAGGTTATTAATCACAGAGATCCTAACTACTTTATTGTTATTTGGAGTATTTCATTATTGCTAGTGTAGGGTGATTTAAGTAGGGTGAGCTACTTTACCACTCATCAATAACACACCTGTGACAGTAGTAAAAGCAGGTTTGATGTTCACAGTGATTGAAAACTTCATCAGAGCAACTATTGTGTTTCTGCAACTTCATTTCCATATACAAAGCAAAACTATATGGCTGCTTAAAAGCACACAACTAGATAAACAGGTATACTTACTGTATGGGTGCATGGTGGAAGTAATGTGAAAGGTATTTTTTAAAAGCTATAATAGAAAACAGTCATCATTGATTTATGTGCTGTAAAAATTTGGATTCATTTTTTATCATTTAGATTCAGAAATGTCCATAAATAGAGAACATGTGCAAACTAATGCTTCAAAACTTAAAGTACAATTATCAGAGGCTACTGTCTTGAGAACCCTGCCGACATCATGTCAAAAAGCTAATCTCTACAAATACAAATATGTTGCACTCATTTAGTTTATAATGTTAATTAATGCAAAAATACAAAGAAGAAAACAATCAAGTTTAAAAAACTAGAACTCCCAAATGTTTCTGAAAAATGACTGAAATGATCAATTAATCATCCAAATATCACCAATTACAGTATTGGTCAAATCTTTTATTTTCCATTAACTTACAAATAAATCTATATAATCTTTCAGTTCAAAGTGCAGGTCACTCTGATGCTCCTTCATGTTTGGTTAACTGCTGCTCTTCATATCTTACATGTCTTATAAACGCTGCAACATGAGTGCTGCTGTGTTCTGATAGTCAATGAGATCTGGTGCGAACACAACAAACCCACTCAAGACTGTAATAGAGAACTGGCTCAACTTGCAGAGGAGCGTTTGCCATCAGGGGGATTGTAGTTACTTAGCAGTGCGATGTTAAAGGCCAACAAGCGAGCGTGGCTGTCAGAGCAGAGTCATGTCTGACACCAGTGGAGCCAATCTGGCAGTTTGAGACACAGGAAGCCTCACATAGTCTGATGCGCCCGAGGCTGCTCTTCACTCAGGACAACACTGCTGGACGATTAGACCAGCGGACTCCTATTACAACCTTTAGAGAGGAAACTGAAAAGGAAAAATTATTTTTGAACACAAGAAGGGACTTAGTTCATGCTGAAATGTAAAAATGTAAAAGATTTTCAGTAAAGCTGTCTTTTTTTCTGTTTTAACTATTCCAAAGCTGTTATCTGCATGCAGCAAAAATCGACTGCAGACAACACTGGGCTTTGCAACAGTTTGGCCAGGTTGTCTGTCTCAGTTGCTTACGGTGCAATTCTCCAAATGGGCCGGCTTCGGTCCTTCCAGCAGCCATTGTGCTCTAATTAGGCCCTCATGCACAGCTGTTGCAGACTGATAGCATTCTTTGTCTCCTCATTGTCAGGACAGCTGATCTGTTGTCTATTCTTTTCATTATGCATACAGG